TTGGTTCCAAGAAAAAAATCCGTACTAAGCAAAATCCGTTATATCAACGAACCGTTATATCGACTTTCACTGTGTATTACACTTTGGTGAATTACAACTTCATTACGACAATGTACTTAAATTTCTTATCCCCCCCCCCTGAAAACTACAGTCAATTTGCTTCATAACTGTACAAAAATTTTTATTATTAGCTTAGTAAATATCGCCAATAGAGATTTTTGAAAAAATGGAATTTTCATATGTTTTACTAATGATTGGCAAGGGTGGTCCTAAAATTTTGGCAGGGGGAGTGTACATGTAAATCAGGTTGTATTTTCTTTTCTCTACCTCTATATAATTATCTACTTACTACTGTAGGTCATATCACTCTCACATATAGTAATGCTCTTTTTATTATCAACTTGCTTTCTTCCGTTTCTCTTTTTCACACTTCTCTTACTCCAGTATTGCTCCTGTACTGTACCACTTCTACTAACAAACTTTTTTTCTCCATCAAATCTCTAAACATGCATATGTTTAACTGCTTCTGAGTGATTCATATTATGCGCAAATGCTGTGAAATTGTCAAATCGGAGTTTGGAGATAGCACATGAAAAATAATAAAAATAAAAAATAATCAGATAATTAAAACAGTAAATGGAATATTGCAATGTGTCAAAAAGATCCATGCAACTGAAATGCCGGGCGACACACGTGATGCGAATCGTGTATCTATATAATCACCGTGATCATGAACGATCATATACAGCAGTTGGCTACACATGCTAATGCTATTTGCCCTTCCATTATTTGCCTATTGTCTGATCGCCGAGCGTTCGTGTAACGACCTTTGGATTTAGTCGTCTTCCGGCGGAACTCTTAGGCTCGTTCCTACTATCGCTAAATCGCTATCCAATTAGTGACTTATTGCCCTTTTCAAAATTCTAGATCCCACCTCATCTCACTTTGTCCTGCCGCGCCAATCAGATTGTGCAAAATTTAATCTAGCCGCACCAATAAGATTTAATCTTTTACTTAATTTATCTAGATTTACCAAATATATGTTGGTATTACAAGAATAAGCCACATTTTCTTGACCTCTCTACCTGTCTACCACACAACTCCAAAAGTCAGCAAAGCTAATCTAAAGACCTGCGCTTCTACTTTTTCTATTCTTTGGGGTTTTAACTGCCTTTTTATTATGTATACTTATGTATTATAGCCCAACATATAAAAGCTGTGCCCAGTAATCAAGGTAATCAAGGGAAATCGCTGGTAATCGAGAGAAATCACAGGTAATCACAGGTAATCATCGCAACCTTGAAAACAGTCCTCGGCTTCTAAAGAGTTCGTTGTAATAAACTCAGCTTCTGGCTTTAGGTAAAAGTGACCGCTGGAGTGGTCCGCTTTGGAAATCACTGAGTAACGGTTTGTACTGACCTTTTTTCGTGAGCGCGCGCGAGTAATCACGTTTGCAAAAAAATTTTCGTGTGACTGACAGACAGGGAACCTAGAATTTTGAAAAGGGCAATAAATAAGATTTATCAATACTCACGGATTTATTATCCGACTATCTATATACGCCTTTTCTGGATTCTATTTAACCTCCGAAATAACAATGATTATGATTCGCTAGGGATTATTTAACGAAAATCTATCAACGGGAAAGTTTATAAATAAGAGCGCGCTTTAAACATGCAATCAAATAGAAATCCTGATGCCTAAGTTCACGATAAGTCTAATGGCAAGATCGAACTTATTAACCGCTGATATTGAAAAAGTGATTTTATCACTTAACCAGCGATCGAATAGGGAATAAAGATCAAGAAGCTAACCAATAAATTATACTTCAACGATTTGTTTATTAGAATATAAAGAACTATTCTAAAAGGACAATTATAAGAATATCTGAAGATAACTGAGGTTCTGAAGATGCTGTTCAGAGCGGAAAACTATCGCTGCTTATACATCTTCTATCGTTCCACTATTTTGACACTGGATTTAGGTTTGATCGATTATCAGGAATTTACCTGCCAGGTTGCACAACCCGACACGTTGTACAGTCCATAATATTTCTATTTATGGAGGAGAAGCCATCTGAGTGTCCAATGAAAGGATGATATTTGAGCTTGCACGACCTGGCAGGTTGTGCGACATGACAGGTAAATGTTTGATCGGCATAATTTTGACACACACTAATCTAAGATTCTATTTTGATGCCGATTTGTGTCACTAATACTAATACTACTGTGCAACTCCGCTGATCATTTAGCCGAGAAATTCAAATGTTCATACTACCAGGCGGAAATCACGGAGGAATATATTGCCGATTGAGCTTAGGTCTGACACTATGAAGAAAAAGGGTTTGTTTGATTAAATTAAAAATACAAATTAAATCAGACTAAAATTAGAATTAAGTTCTCGTATTGCTATTTCTCTACGAAGTTTACTAATAAATGTAAGTATAAAAGAGATTCTAAATACAAACGTTTAATTAACAGAAGTTGTGGGGCAGCGGGGTATTAAGCAGATGTAATTGCCAGGCGGGAGCCGTTCATAGGGCAGTGTTCTTCATGCACAAGCTGTGTAGAACGGTGTCATGCAAAAATAATCGTTGTTCTGATAGAATTTTCTTGAAAGAGAACTTTTTCTTAGTAGTCGTTATTGAAAAATGTCATGTACAATAGTATAATGGCTGCAGATGTATTCAATCGCTGTTTAATTATCAGAGTTTGTTTTTCATCCGTAGTTATCCGTTTCTAATACTAACATGATACTAATAAACGAACATCCTGTATAATTTCCCCTGTATAATTTGTGGGACATAAACATCGCACAATGTATTTATCTCGAATTGTGTCAAATTCCGCCGCAGAACATGTATGTATCCAAGATGGTGTATAGTGTAGCTAATAAAAGGACGCAAAACTCCAAGATGGTATATAAAGGTGTAACTAATAAAAGGACGCAAACCTCAAGATGGTATATAAAGAAGAAAGTCGATAATGAAGCCCGATTAGGATAAATTTATTATTACAAGTCCCAACCTTTGCAATACACTACCTATTTATATGCTCCAATCCCGTAAATCGTGTAACGTTAACTAACGTATAATAACAGAGCAGGAAAAAACCGCAACTCCTAACCATTATAATTGAAATGCCGAATCTGCTCCAGAGTGTTCTATGGCTTTTCGTCTTAATGGCAAGTAGGAATTAACAATAGACAGGGATATGAAGTCATATTTTGATCACCCGATAATATCATTATTAGACGAGTTTAGTAAATGCGCAAATGCAAACAGGCAACGTTCTTCTGGAAGCATATAAGGAATGGTAAGAATTAGGGTTTCAGGAAGATCCGGTTCATAGTAGCTATAACAATTCATAATCATCTTATAATGCACTGTATGTCCACTTATCTGTGTTTCTAATTCAATTGTTATTTATGTCAAAAGGTTCATATGCTCTTCAAGCCCAACAATTGTGATTAGTGAGTAACCCAATTTTTTATATCATTGCGCGCAATTACTAACTTTCAATTCTCTCAATGAATGTAGATTATGTCGTAACGTTATCCAATCAGACGGTTACCACAACGCCAAATTTTGGCTCCCAGACTAATAATAATTTCGCTCTGTTGCCCCTTTCTCCTCCTTGCACTGGTAGTTTTTTGACTGCTGTAGTAGATACTTCTAACCTTGCAATAGTCTTAACCGGCAATGCCACTACTTATACAAGATTGGTAGCTCAATCGTGGTTAGTAAGGAGAAAAGGCATTTCTTTTTTGATTGTATAAATAACGACGTATTTACATGCGTAAACAGTAATTTGTATTAATACGATCTTATTTTCTTTCCCAAACTCTCAAAAGTGCTGACGTGTGCGTAGATTCTTGTGTTAAAAATGATACCCTCACCACTGCTCCACGAAGCGACATCTGGTGTCTTCTCATAGGCAATCCTAAAGCCAATACGATCTCTCTCAATGTTGCTTATACGTTTGCTCTACCAGCTACTACTATTACTGTAACTCCTATCACTAGTACCACTAGCCCAGGAGCAACGACTACTCTTATTACTATAAGTGTCGGTGTTGAGAAAACTAGATGGAACAGCACAATTGTCTTCATTTGGCTCGTGTGTAGTATTTGGATTTTGATGAGATCAGTTTAAATTTGACTTCTTTGAGATATGTATCGACAAGGCAATTTATAAGATTATTTATGTATACATTACCGTATAGTAAATTTCTGCCTTCATCAAAATCTCTGTTGTTGATGCGTTGTATGTGCATATCTTTTTCCATAAGTAATTTCGCCACTAACCTTCAATTACCTTTTCTAGTAAACTTTTATCCACTATATCGCGATTTTAATTAGTCTCCACTATAAAGGAGGTACACTATAAAGAGAGCCACTGTGTACACTCCCCTGACAAAAGTCATGAGACTGTTCTAAAATTTACTAGTAAAACATATGAAAAATCTTTTTTTTCTCGAAAATCTCTCTTATTTGCAAACACTATATACGTGGCAATAATTTTATATGGGTTTGGAAGTAATTGACGGTACTTTTGAAAAGAAATAACAGCAAAATTTAATGATTATTATTATTAATCTCACATGTAAACAGGTATCTTGGTTAGAATATGAGAGTATATTTTTATATGTATAACATATAACTATTATTTCATAACACTTTATCTGGCTACAACTTTATAATAATAATGTGTTAAATTTTACTGTTGTTTTTTTCAAACAGCACAGTCAATTAGTTTCAAACCCATATAAAAATTATTGCCACATATATAATGTTTGCAGAAAGAGAGATTTTTGGAAAAAAAGAATTTCTCATATGTTTTACTAGTAAATTTTAGAACAGTCTCATGACTTTTGGCAGGGGAGTGTACATGCATAACTACAAAGGGCTCGCTTTTGAGAATCAGAAAGAGTAGTTCTCTTGAGGGACATTTTGAGTCAACACTCTAGCGCGAGACAACTATTGATTGTATTATTGTGGCGCCTTATGTCATCTTCGCTTAATTTGAAAAATGTGATTGAATTTTTTACTATTTTAGCAAATATCTTATGTCAATGTTACTATTACTATTGCTATTGCATCTTTGTTGATTGAAATCACGGCGATTAATTGGCTGACCTTTTTTAAATGTCACGTGGGTGCACGTGTAGAACATGGAGGGTATGCACTTATGGAGGGTGCACTTATAGAGGTCTCTCTGTATAAAGAATATCGGTATAAAAAATATCGGTATAAAGAGGTTTGACTGTACTTATTCTTTTGAATTATCCTTTCCAGATACACATCTTATTTCTCATCCCAACAATTCGTCAAAAAAGAAAATATCTCTCTCCTGTATACCTTCACACCAGTTTAGGTCGCTCGGCCGGTGTTAATTCGTTTGTCGAATATCGAGACCAAATGGGTTATTCTAAAAATCGGAGAGCATTAACTCTATTCTGGTATGCTAGGCGCTTTTCTGCAACAAGTAGGCTTATCCGAACCTAACAACCGTTGGTATCATCTATCATTGCGTCACGCTTGTGAATGGTTACAACAACATAACAATCCTTATTAGCCGCATAGGATAGTTTATGATTAAGTATCAAAAGGAATTCGTAACAATCTTATTTCCTTGAATATGATCAAATCCTTGGATTATTAGAACAAATTATTCAAACAACGTATGGAACCGAACAACATGAGGATTTGATGATGAGGGAAGCTCTACTTATATAAGGCTTGCCACCAAAAACTGAAACGAAAATTACTGCTTTTGGTTCTGTACTGCCACCGAAAAATGCAACGAAAATTACTAAATATGAACTCTTAGTGTGACAATACTAAAATTAAATCGCTGCGGGTAGTATTTCATCATATGACTCGCTCGACTGCATCAGCAGACCGACTCGTCGTAACAATATACAGGGAAACTTTCAAAGCGTTTACTCATTCGTGTCCCAAATTAGAAGTGGGGGGATACTTTTGTAAGTCAAAGTCCATTACCGCTATTTGCAAGGAAAGATTATGAATTCTACGATAATGCTACTATCACTTGGAAATAATAAAATAGCCGTTTACTTAAGGCGATAGTTAATGTTGAAGGCGGATACGTATATAACCTTATCACTGGAATTACTCTGGTTGATAGCTTATAATTAAGCCATATCATCAAATAGAACGTCTCATAATAGATTTGAATTCTTCAATTGCCCTGCCGCTAGCAACTTACGGACAAGGAGAAATTATACCATAATAAGAACAACAACAAAATAATAGTTAAGAAAGAAGGTGACAACCACTTTTTGAATGATGGGTGGAAGAGTAGTTGATTAGGGGTCTGATTGGAAAATGATAAAATGGAAAAGTTTAGATTGCTTGTCTGGACACCTCGTATTTTATTTGTAAGATATTTAATATTCAATAATAAATGCCAATGTGTATCATAGATCTCCTAAATTTGGATGCTAAGCTTTGCTGTACCAATTTCTCACATCTTCAGGTTTAGCACACTTTTCCGTCTGCGAAATTGGAGATGTCAGATGTTTATTAGTCTGTTATCAATCCCGCGTCTGATGGTGAGTTTGCTAGTATATACTCACTTCCTGCACACAATTACAATAATGATGCCACACAAAATGGTTTGTATACTTTGTTTAACAGCTTATGAGCAGAAATTTTATCACTCATAGATTTAATAAACTTTCTTTTTCTTATAATTAGCTACGTCTTCGTTTCATCGATCTCACTAAATTGATTAACCTTCTATCAGGAATAGAATTCCTTCCCTCGACTATAAACTCACACGATTTTTGGGAAATTTTTTGGCTAAATGCCATAAACTTTCTATGGGGATTTAAGTCTGGATTATTGTTAGGCTAGTAAAAATTTTGCTCTGTGTATCCAAGCTTGTTCGAGACATTTCGTGACAGCAAAAAATTATACGCAATACTTCTAATCTGGATGATGTAGCATATCAGAACTGTTAAAATTTTTTTAACAATGCTATTAATAATATGATCGATGCTCCGTAATCCGGATGGTGCAGCTTATCAAAATTGCTAATTATTTATATGGTATAATGCAAATTGACGAAACGAAAATTCTATTACTCAAAAATGAAAACCTGCGTGTTAGAGAGAATATGTGCGATGTAACCTATGTGTATTCAGCGTTAACAAATAACTGCTACAGGGGGGGGGGGGGACAAAAGTATTGCACACTTTTATATTTACGATATTGAAAAAAATTTTATATGTAATTAAAAAACTAACTTTTGTACCATCTACTGTACCAT